GAGTTTCTACACAGAACATAATAAGCTTTATGTACCTCCTAATGATTTTCATGTTATAAATAAGAGTTAATATACTTTTACCCTTCAACTTTATATTTTAAAAATTCATTCACAGTGTTATTATTAATAATAAATCTCAGTTTTAATGATCTACAAACATAATGTGTCCCTTTTCCCAACTGTATGATTTACATTGAGTAGAATAACTGTAATACTTGCTAAGTGCTGTTATTTTAGTGACACTATAATTATTGGGTTCCTTTAATCATTTTATATGTTCCTTTTTCTGCAGAATTCGAGTAATGTAGCATACTTATTACTGAACGATTTCAACTCAAATACTGTAACAGCTTGAAACATCCATTATAAAGATTGTTTAGAAAAGTTATTTTCAATTCATGTATAAGAAAACCATTCTTAGGTGTTATTTCACATAATCACTCCTTACATTTCGAGATTGGAAAAAAAATTTGTTTCCTATGTATGTTTTTATTCTTTGTCACACAGGTGATCCAAAATTTGGAGTGATGATATTAGAGCAACATCTGTATTTCTTCTCATGTTTAGCATGTAACTAGAATTAGAGTGGATGAATCCAATCTTTCCTATTACCTGGTCCTATTTAAGCTTAAAATATCAAACCAGCATTAAAATTACTGTATCCATTTCTAATTTATAACTGCAAAGCTTAATCTAATTTATAACAGCAGGACAGTGTTGGGCCAAAATACAGTGCTCCCTTGCTTCAAGGACTAAATGCCAATTCCTTCCTCTCCCACCAAAATGCCACCTGATTCAGCTATTGCCACACAAGGCACTTCATATGCCTGTTAAAACACAAAAGGAACTTTTATCCGTTTCCAACTGACATTTGACCTCCACTTTTGTCCCTTCTATAGCTGATAATCCCTTGCAGAGCCTCACAGTTGGTAGAATTCCTCCACATATATTCAACAGGTTTCTCCTTATTAATCCTCATTGCTATATTTGCTCTAATCATGTTCCCTCATACATATTACTTTAGTACCATTTCCTCTCTCTGTAGACCATAATACAGAATGCCATAAGAGTACCATGGACCCTGATATAGTCTGAGGATGGCCGCAGGCATACCTCCTGTTGCCAATGTGATCTATAGGGCCCTCTGAGATTTAATTTATAACACTTTGGTAACACCCTTAATTATGTCTTCTCGCAGAGCATCATTTTCATGGTATCTTTGTATTTGAGTACAAAGCAGAAAAACATCTAGTTATACATCTAGTTATACTTTCAGTCATTAAAGCCAAGATAAAGTAGTAAAAAACAAAGAAAAACAAGTTGGAGGTATTAAAAATACATAGGGATTAAGGAGAGAGCGCAGGTAACTTGTTTTTCTTTGGTTTTTACTATATATTAGGGCTGATGTGTACTGTAGTCATTGCTGCCGCCCAGTGATGGGAGTGAGCGCAGGACTTATCTTTCTGCAATATACGGATAACTGAGAAACAAAGACAAGGTAAAGGATTCCACAAATCAGAATAGTCGATAAACAGAAGCAAGGCAATAACCAGGAAATAAACAGAATCACAAAAATGCACTTTTGTGTAACAATCACCTTAACAGGCAATGAGAAGTGGCGAGTATGGCCGTATATAGTGCTAGGCTGCATACTATTGGCCTGCATCAATAAAGAAGCCAAAACATGTTAATAACACGTGCACCGATGCCTAGAGGGTGCTGAATCCAGAACACCCAAAAAGGGAAGTAAAATACCACCATTGCTAAATGACACGTGGGTACATAGGTCCCATTGGTAACAATTTAAAGGCTGGCTCTGATAACACACTTTGTTAATCACTGAAACAGAAAATGACTGTGTACAAATTGGATATGGTCCCAGACAGATTTATTGAGACATACACTGCAATGTTTCAGCTTCTAAGAGCCTTTGTCAAGTTTGACAAAGGTATCTTAGTAGCCAAAACATTAAACTATATGTCTCAATAATTCTCTAAAACTGTATTAAATTTGTGCCCAGTCTTCTGTTTTGTGGATTGCTTTGGAGTGGGGCCGCTAAGGATTTGTGTCACTTTCCTTTTAATTTTTTTTTACTTTCCTCCAATTTATTTGTATGCATTCACATCTCTCTATGGTTAACATTTGTAAGTAGGTCCTTACTGAAGGTGTTCTTTTACAAAACATCTCAGTGCTCTGGGTATACAGTACAGGAAAAATACTAATATCTGTAAATATTATTTTATGAAAAATGATTATTATAATACTAATATCTGTAAGTCTAAAACATGTACATTTCTGTAAAACACATTATTGCTTTAACAAGTTAAAGTACCAGATCATCCAAATATAGAAAATAACACATTGGTTTTTTTTTTTTTAATTCTTTATTTTAGAAGTGCATGGTTTAATAGACATACGTTCTTAAACATTTTACAAAAGATATGAAAAAATAGAAAATGCATAGGCATTGCATGAAATGTTGGGAGAACCTTACATTTTTATAGGAAATTAGAGAAAACAGTGAGAATCTATGCAGATGCATAATCCACTGGGTCTAAAGAGTTAACCAATGAAAAAAACCTTTATGGTTCAATGACAAAACATAGCAACTGGGACATTGCCTGTAAATTGTGAACTATGATATACAGCCAAATTGCAGGAGAGGTTAGTGGGCCATTCGACCAATGCCTAAAGACGGAGAGTCCCTTCCTCCGCCATTAGCCACCCCGACAAGGTCTCCCTACAGTGCCCAAGAGAACACTTACTATGGGAGCTTCTGCTGCAGGATGGCATCTGCATCTGCATGGCATCTCTCTGCCGTGACTTGCATCTGCCTACTGCAAATCAGGAGCAGTTGATAACGTGAGTGTGATGCGAGGGGTAGCGAATGTGGGAGCCAGGGCAGTGAGGCACTGATTACTGTCACAGCTGCCTCCCACACCTTCAGTGTGCAGTGGCCTTACGTGGGAGTGAGGGTTGAATTGGGAACTGTCCCCTTGTGGCCCTCGGCTGGTGAAGAAGGTGGTTCACAGCAGGACCGAGTCTTAAGCGCCAATACATTTTCGAAGTGCCTGTCTCTGCATCTCCACCAATGGCACAGATGCAGAATCATACACAGTGTGCCACGGCACAAGCTCATTGCTTGAAGGGTCATGCTTGAGGACAGGTGTGACTTCAAGTCACATGAGGCTTTTATATTTATATTACAAAAAATATATGGAAGCACAAAAATAAAAATCCACAAACACATCCTTACACTCTTACATGAGGTAAATAAATCAATAGTGTGTTAACGGTAACTCATATTTAAATGAACATTTGTTGTGCCAATATTTATATAAGCGAGAGAAACAGAAATAAGTATTGGACGTTTAGTAAATTATATATATATATATAATTTATTTATTTATAAAATATTTTACCAGGAAAGATACTTTGAGATTTCTCTTGTTTTCAAGTATGTCCTTGGTATATATATTATGCATTGTTTATAAATGAGAAATTTGCCTAAAAAGGAACTTGTGTCCAAGTGAAAATTGGAAGTGCTTAGAACAATTTTAATGAAAACATCCTGTGATGTTAGTGTCGAAGCAGAATTCCAATATACACAACAGTCATTTTTTTCTTGAATTGATACATAAGGAAGAAACAAAAACAGAAAGAAATACATGCATATGTATACTTGCATGGTAATGTGACTATGCTGATAGGAATATTCTAAGTCCTTTGATATATGTTTCACAATGTGGCTCATAGTCAGTATAACCATATCCTAGTTAATCCTTTCAGGACGAGTCAGGCAAATACAAGATATTATGACTACTAAAGCATGTAATCTATGATGAAGAGGATAACATCTATTTAGATTGTTTTTTTCCATTTATATTTTTATCCTATACATAAAATGAAAACAGACACCGGTCTGAATTTACCTATGTATAGTAAAATATAGGAGAGATCACATTTCCCAGAATGATGTTGCCTTTAGTAAATAACCATCTATAAGAACTGTCAAACCGGTTAGCGTTGATTAACTGTAAACTGAAACGAGAGAAAAACAGAATCGAACTGGTTGATTAGCTAATGTAATGTACTCTGAACAAACATGTAGGTACCCAATGTAGCAAGCAAAATTACCTTAATACGTAGATATCCCAACCCTACTTATGAAAAGACACATAAGAACAAGTGACAGGTAGTAGAGACAACAAGCAGAGTTGCATACATACCTGATAAATCCAACTATTAAAATTAAACAAGGGAGGGATAAGAAAAGGTGGGAAATACTCACCTCCTGTCATTAATAAAATTAAGATTATAGGTACACTAAAGTTAGCATAATCTACAATTTTATAACATGACAGGAGGCTTCGTATTTGCTGTTTTAACGCTCCGTCAACAAATCCAATGCTGTTTGTTTCGCTGGTACCTATTCCGTGAGATATCAGAGCAATCCTAAATTGACTTTTCAACAGCAATAAATGACAGTAGATGGTGCCAATGAAGATGCCAGCTGACAAAGCATCCCAAATACGGAAAAAAACACCATCCCAAATACGGAAAAAAACACCATGATCCAGCTGCTGTTTCCTAGCAGCTGGATCATGATCTGCCAAGCTGACCTATTAGTCATTTACCTGTAATTGTAAAGTCGAAGGTCATTTGTGGACCTAGGGCCGTGGTGAGAAACTGCCACCATGTCTCAACTCTTGATGTGGATGGTGGCTCCTCCGATCATGCCATGGTCACCCGGTGATGTGACCTTGCCGGTAGATCTCCAGTCTCGAGGAATGTACCTAAGTCCACCACCATTTCCATAATAGAACCGAGTAGGAACTTTCGTTCCCTCATAACTCACCCGGTGAGAGGTCTCATCCGTGAATAAATTATTATGCAGGCAAAAGTGTGGTCAAACCAGCCGTATCCTAAGTGATCCCAATATTCAAAATGGACTGTGTAATCCTCGGCTGCGGCAGAGAAAGGACCCCAATGAAGGAGACTATTGGTAGAAGTGGATTTCCTAAATAGTTCGGTTTGGATAGTGCCATCTTGTGTTAGTATGATTTTTAGGTCTAGGAACACAAGTTCGTGTTCATCGATCACATGCGTAAGTTTTAAATTAATCTCATTGTCATTCAGGGCCTGAACAAATCCCTCAAACATCTGGATGGAGCCTGTCCGTAGGAGCAGCACATTGTCAATATATCTGTGCCAGCTCAAAATATTTAGGAAATCCACTTCTACCAATAGTCTCCTTCATTAGGGTAGCCATCATCCCTATAGGTTAAAAGCATCCATTCCATTTAGCCAATACCTACGGGCAAGAAGAAACTGTTCCGAAGATCACACCTATTACAAAGAATGCCAACTCTTAAGATCTAGATTTAAAGAATTAGGGTATCCTAATCGTGTTCTCAAACAGGCTTTTCAAATGGCCAGTGACATTGATAGACACCTGAGTCTCACCACAACTAGACCAAAACTGGATTCAAAGACCCCAAGGTGTATTGCCACTTTTGATCAAGGCTGGAACATGATGTCGCACATACTTCACAACAATTGGCCCATCTTACTTCATAACCCATTTCTTAAAAATATCTTACCTAACCATCCACCTCTTACAGCACGCAGACCCACTAATCTTCAGGACCTTCTTGTCCATAGTCATTTAACATTACCTTCTCCACCTACAAATTGGTTATCAAGCACCTTAAAGGAACGTATAGATGCGGTCACTGTAAAGCATGTCAGTACATTACTCCTTCAAAGACTGTTCAATCAACACAATCCAAAATCAATGTAGCTACCAATGCTTTGGTAAATTGCAGCACTACACGTGTTATTTATGTAATAACGTGTAGTTGTGGTACCCAATATATTGGTAAGACATTCCAGCAGTTCCGTAGGAGAATTTTACAACATATTAATTCTATTAATAACATCATTACTCTTATACCGGTGGCCAGACACATTAACAATTTTCATGAAGGCAAAGTAGAAAATTTAAGGTTTCAGGCAATAGAAAGACTATTGCCTAATCCAAGAAAAGGCAACTTCAACAGAATTTTGTTGCAAAAGGAATCCAAATGGATTTATCTCTTTAAGACATTGGTCCCATTGGGACTAAATGAAGATTTTAATTATACTGCATTCATTCTTTAATTACAAGCGCTTTAGGTTATTATAGTTTATTTTCATTTGATTGGCACTTTTAGCACTTTTTTTTGTTGCAGTTATTATATTTGATTCTTTTTAGTTAATATAACGTTTCTATTAACCCACTCATACAACTCTATTTTCACTTAGGTGATATTCTCTAACCGCTATAATATGTCAATAACATGAACTATCCATTAAATACATCCATTACACATTAAGTAATATGGGTATGATTTTCGATCGTCACTATCATTATAACTTCGTTTGAAATTTTATTTTTGGTTACAACCATCCTAACCTTTAATGTGGACACCTTGATTCATTCTTGGGAACATCTCAATTAATTATCCCAACATGTGTTCCCTTATAACCTATAGTATCCACATCTCTTCTTATCTTTATTACCCTTAATATTATGAGTACATATTAACCAGTCTTATTCCAACGAGCGCGCGGGGTCCAGGATGACCGTCGGTAGCCTGAGGAAAGCTGGAGACGTTCTCCGCAATCCACGAGAGCCCGGGAGGTCGGGGGAGATCAAGTCAGGCCTCTCGACAACCCGAACGATAGGACAATTGGAAGGATCAATAACCAAGAAACAACAAATAATGTAGATAACGGTAAATACGTACCTCGGGGAGAAGGTAAATAGCAGACCAGAACCGCAAGTCAAGTAAACCCAACTGAAAGGGTCAGGCGCTAAACCTGATGGAGGACTAACTGCTAAAACCTAAGATGGATACCAGGAAGGCAGCTAGATGGTTAGTTGCTGAAGGCAAGGCAACCGTGCTCCCCTGTTGGCGTCTGAGCACTGGTCCCTGCTAGTGCAAAATTCTCCTTGGAGCTGTGCCGCCGCCGGGTTGGTGTAAACCATCTTGGCGTGCCCGGGGGTCCTCATAAAAAACCTTGTCCCCTAGGGCCTGAGGTTTAGGCCCTTCACCCCTCCAGTCATCTTTAGGTGCCCATATACTGGTGTCCTCTTGGATAGTAAGGCATTGCTTGCCTGGACACTCACCTATCTCCATGTCCATAGTGGGTACTGGGATTTTTTCAGTGATATACTCCCAGGCCTGTGGCCAAAAGGGTGTTTCAGGCCCAGATAGCTCGGGCCAAACCAAGGGCACAGATAGTGTGGGCCAGTCAAAAGGGCACAGACATAGCAGGCCAATCAATGGGGCACAGACATAGCAGGCAGATCAATGGGGCACAGACATAGCAGGCCAATCAATGGGGCACAGACATAACAGGCCAATCAATGAGGCACAGACATAGTAGGCCGATCAATGGGGCACAGACATAGCAGGCCAATCCATGGTGATGTGTTCCGACAGTAGCAGGGGGTCAATCTGCATGTGTAGAGCCCCCTGTATGTGTACTGAAAAAATGGTAAAAACTAGTGTTAAAAACTCCAATATGTAAAACCCCCTAGGCAGAGAAGTAATGTGCCTATAGGTTATACAGGAAAACTAGCAGACCTTTAATGTATGTGATCAAAACAAATATATCCTGTTGCAGGAAACTCAGCAGTACAGGATGTACTGCCTACAGGCTGCTCTCCAGCCCTCACAGACCGCCAACAAACTAGGTCTGGATAAGTCCTGATTCACAAGCCCCTCAAACGGACCTCTACTGAGAGCACCATAATAAAATAAAATAAAACCAAGTATCAGAACCGCAATAGTGGTCAATACAGCAATGAATCATGCTCCAGAAGATATCTAGGACTCAGAAACATTTTATTTTATGTCATTTTATTTTATGTCATTTTATTTTATTTTATTATATGTTTTTTAAATGCTATATATATGTAATAGATGTCCCATTTAGATTAAGTCACATACATATTTTTCTATCTCATTTTCTGTTTTCTTTTTCTTTTTCTTTTATATTTACATTTTTATCTTTATTTTATTTATTTTTATATTCATTTCTATTTTTATTATTTTTATTATATATATATTTTTTATCATTATTATTTTTATTCTTCTTTTTCATATTTAGTTTGATTTATTTCCATTTTATACTTATTTTGTCTTTACTTAGCATCGATTTTTTTGGTATTCGGACGTTTTTTTAATACATATTTATGTGTCCTTTCTGAATGGGACACCTCAATTATATATCCTGTGCTCTGATGTATCCCTCCCGGTTCATTTTTTCCCCTGCTTTTAATGTTGTGTTCCAGCGTGGAATGCATAGTATATTCTTACAATAAACCGGAACCGGAAGTGACGCCGGATGTCCGTCATGCGTTCCAGCATGACACGCACGCCGCGATCCCACTACACAGATGAATCATATCGAGCAATTCAGGCGGTTTAAAAGGAGGAAGTTCTTTGGAAGTACAGATTTCCCATCCCTGAGGAAGTCCAGTGGACGAAACGTGTTGGATTACTGGGGACTCTTTTGTTGCAATCTTCACTTCAGAGTGGATTAAATGCTGTCTATGTGTATTTTATATATCTTTTATATATAGTTTTCATCACACTGTTATATAATCAGGTTGTATATTTTATTTACACCTTAGATGTGAGTGTTTCACAAATTTTTGCATTCCTACTGTTTGGCTTTTGTTTTATTACTAAATTGGTGTTTTAGAGGGCACACTTTCTTTAGTATGTTTGCCTTTATATGCATTTTTAGTGGTTTGGTAACTTTTTCTGGTGTACCCTCCTGTTTCCTACCTTTTAGGTGCAGGAGGGTGACTTTGCCTGTGGTCCAGTGGTGGCTCGGGCTGGTGGGAGTCAGAGTTCCCACTCTGACTCCCTCTCCTTCCTCCCGCGCAGGCTCTGGCTGATAGCTGGGAGGAGTGACATGCAGTCACTTCCACCCAGCTGTGAATTCATCTCTATCGGGTGGCCCTAACAGCATGGGCCACCCGATAGGCCCCTTGAACATGCGGCCCCGGCGGTTTGCCGCGCAGGCTGGGGCCGCAACACATGGCGGCGGGCTCCCGGTCGCAGCTGTCCGCAGGGTGGCCGGGCCCCCTGGAGTGACGGGCCCGGTTACAACTGCGACCCCTGCGGCCGCGGTATGTACGCCACTGGTGTTAACAGGTATGCTACTATACCATGGGTTCTTATATTTTGGAGTTAAATCTCTATGTAACTTGATGTTTTTCATTTTGTAAAGATCTGTACCTCCATGAAAGGCAATGTTATTTGTCCTTTATGAATACAATGATAGTTGAAATTATTACTATTTTAATGACATTATGATAGAGTCTTGATTTTAAAGTATTCAGGATTTGTAAAGATTCACATAACTCATGATGTAAATTAAATCTAGATGTTTGTTGCTCTCTAACTGAGAAAAACACTCCTACCTTAATGTAACTTTCTTAAGTGAGTGTATCAAAGTTGGATGCATATCATAAAACGTCCTTCGGAGGCAATTAAAAGCTATTTTAAATGTACAGTGTGTGTTTTTTTACTACATCGTCTTGCCATGACTATTATGCTAATAAACTTTCTCCATTCTATGAAATGTATAAATGCACAATTAATCTTTATTAATATAAAGTACAGAGCACAGTACAGTTATAGTGGTAAGACTTTCCTTACAGCTCTGCTTATCTCTTACAATACAAAGCTAGCTATAAAATCAAAGAGAGAGAGAGCAGGATGAGAATGTGTGGTGATTCTACGCAGCAAAGTATGATATATGGTTTAATAAAGAAGAAAACAGAACTATTGCTTATTTTCCCCTAATGGTGGAACCTATCTTTTAAATGAAAGAATGAACTGGCAAAGACTCTGTAAAACATAAATTAAATACACATCTGCTGGCACTTACATTGTACATAGGGCATTGTGCAGTTACAAAACGGGGACCATTCAAAAGGAGTTATTCAGCTGAAGGTGAATTCTGACAAAACATTAAAGACACAAAAAAGAGTAAGTGGTTCATTCACTAAAGAAATAAGAGACGGTTTTTGATGATTGCTCGACTTTATGAAAGCCATTCTTCAATGGTATTAAGTCTCTGAGTACCAAAAAGCTCACTATTTTTCTACTCAAAAGATTATATAATGTCACAACTGTACAGCTCATATTATGTCTCTCTGCTTCTTATTTGACCACTTTAATATTTGTTTATTACATGGCTATGAAGGTTGTTGAATGCTAATTTGTGACACAAACTGAGGACATATTGATATATTTTAGAAATGTATAAATCAAAATTTTGAAAGTCTTGTTAAAAAAAGGGCATCCTAAATAGTTAAAATGATGCAGAGTTTAGACCACTAAGATGCCTTTGACACCCTTAAAGAAGGCAGCATGTTAGGTGCCGAATCTTTGTGGGCGTTGGTGACTCATGTTCTATCCTTCTAGACTTGTTTATTGATGGTAGTTACCTGTGTATATGTGCCTTGCTTTTTTCTTCGCTTTGTTTATTGTTTTTTGGTGATTTGTTGTATATCCTGATATTTGTGTTTTATTCAATGAAGGATTTGTAGGTAATATTTATTAGTTGCTTTGTACAGTGTGCATCCTTATCTTTGTGGATACAATTAATGTTTTAGGGCACTTTTGGGAATGCCTTATGAGGTTTTGCACCTGATGGATTACTAATGCTAAAGGTGTAGTCTCCATGCAATTTTGTTTTAAATATGTTTATTGGTATCGTGTCTTGAGTTCACACCTCAGACAGATTTTCATTAAAGCGAACAGTCGCCTACGCAGAGACGTAAGTATCGGTTTATAAGGGTAAATGTAGATTATCACCTGCGCAGAGGCGAATTGATCAGAACATATGAACGTACATAAACTTTTTGTATGTATTACAACATAATGAACTAATGTAACATAGTAGGCTAACTTCACGTGGGTGTTAAGCTTCATGGTTATGTATCTTATAGCAGCGCTTTGTGGGCTTGAACACTAATATGCCTTGTTTGGAGATATAAAGAAAACTAATAAAAGAAACAAAACAAACAAACAAACAAAAAAAACCTGTATGCATTGTATATAAGCTCAGATATCTGCTTAAACGTGTGGTATGGTATTCTCCGGGGACCATCCTTACCCGGAGATCGGGGTACCCACTGCTCCGGTCGGCTCCATGCAATTTTGTATACTAGATCATCCATTACACAAGTCATTTGTTTGGTTATATGACCAAATGGCACTAAGATGTCACAGAATTTGGACAACCCACCAATTGGCTTAAATTCGAAGGAAAGTGCAATTCAGCAAAAATTGAATGCACAAGTCTACAAACTTCTATTCACAGTAGGTTTCAACTTTTCTATACAATGCCACTAAAACATGTTTGTAATGGTAGCAAAGATCATTTGTCACTTTTGTTTCAGAGAGAAAGAATTTTTTTGAGAAACAAGTTACTAACATTTTGTCCAAATTATGAGAAGCACTACCTGCTAGTTTTACTGTGCTTATGTTTAATTATTTAATGTTGGAAATGTATATGGTTATTTTTGCATGCCAAAACTTTTGATTCAGATATATGGAAAAAACTGTACATACTTTTTTTTGCCTTAATAAAAATGGTACCTATATCACTCACTAATACATCCTATTGTCATCATGCTGCTTTTAAATTTTGAGTGCTTAGTTTCCTTTTTGTGTAACTGTATTGCTTCTATATTAGTTTATATTTCCATAGTATAAATAGCAATCCATGAAAGTCTAGTTAAAAAATCATCATTAATAGTTAAAATGATGCAGCGTTTAGAGGGTCAGGGTTAAGTCCTGTTTATGGAAAGTTATGTGGGACTTAGATTTTGTGTTTTCCTTCTTCAGGTGCAGTGGACTGTAACACCTATCACTCTTAGCTAGGCTTCTTGAAAGTGGGTTCCCACTTACAATAAGTGCCCCTTTACCCGAGTTCCCCTAATTATGCCCTGTAACCCCATATCCCAAATGCTTACCAAAAGCCAAACCCTCCCCAAAGCCTCAAAGGCTGCCCTATATCACCCAAACCTTAGCATCAATAGGTATACATATTTTAAAAATATTGTGTCAAAACAACATATGGTGATCTTTCATAAGGTGATCTACATTTTTATGGTTATGTTATGAATCTAAAATGAATAGATGTTGCTTGAATTAATAGCTAACAATAAAATTCAACTAGTTGTATGATTTATCAGTAGTAGAAGAATTATGAATCACCATAAATGATGCTGAAATTGGAAGCTGTAAAAACAACATGCTGTGCTAGTATCCCATAGTTCAGCTAATTACTACCCATAATTAACATAAAAAATTGGCACATACTGTCTTGCCCAGTATTTAATGTTTTGAGCACAGCAATTGCTGCAATGTCGTTTGTCACTTAGTTGACTCTTTTAGAGGAATTATTATTTTAGAGCAACATTGTATATATAATTCTTTTGTACATCCTATGTTTATTTTTAGAGCATGTTTATTTGTATTCTGTTGAAAAATATGGAATTTTTCTGATGGTTGTGTAAGAACCATTTCATTCAATAAACAAGATTTAATAACTGCCCTTGAGAAGTGAAATTCCAAAATATAAGTGCTCACATCTTGATATTTGTCAATTCATTTATACCTTTTGGAGGAATTCTAACTAAGCATGAATAATATATACTTATTTTGCTGTTCTATGTTCATTCGCACCCGCTACATTGGAAGAGGTTTCTGCTCTGCTCCAGTCTTCCCGCCCCACCACCTGCTCCCTAGATCCAATTCCCTCGCATCTCATCCATACTCTGTCTTCTTCTCTTTCTCCACCTCTCACTAAAATTCTCAATCTCTCTCTCTCCTCTGGTATATTTCCATTGCCCTTCAAACATGCGACTGTAACCCCAATTCTAACTAAGCCCAATCTTGACCCTAACTCCCCATTCAACTCTGTGCTAGACCCGCTTCAGTCTGGTTTCCACGCTAAGCACTCTGTGGAAACGGCACTGACCAAAGTATCCAATGATCTAGTCGCTGCAAAATCTCGTGGTCACTACTCTATCCTAATTCTCCTTGACCTGTCTGCGGCTTTTGACACTGTTGATAATCAACAGCTTCTTCTCATCCTCCGCAATATCGGTTTACAAGATATTGCTCTCTCCTGGTGCTCCTCCTACATCTCCCAGCGCTCTTTCAGTGTTTCTTTCTCTGGCTCTGCTTCTTCTCCCCAACTTCTCTCTGTTGGTGTCCCCCAAGGTTTAGTCCTTGGTCCCCTACTGTTCTCCATCTATACTGCCTCCCTTGGTAAACTCATTAGCTCCTTTGGCTTCCAATATCATTTCTATGCAGATGACATGCAAATCTACCTGTCCTCTCCTGATCTCTGCCCGTCCCTCCTGACTAGTGTCTCTGACTACCTCTCTGCTGTTTCTAACTGGATGGCTGCCCACTTCCTTAAACTAAACTTGACCAAAACTGAAATTCTGGTCTTTCCTCCCTCAAGTGTTGTTACTCCTGTGTCTATCTCCCTCCAAGTCAACGGTGCTACCATCAGCTCTACCACGCAGGCTCGCTGCCTAGGTGTTCTCTTTGACTCCGACCTCTTCTTTAAGCCTCATGTTCAATCTATTGCCAAATCCTGTCATTTCCATCTCAAAAACATTGCGCGCATCCGCCTCTACTTAACGCCAGATGCAACTGAGGTGTTGGTCCATTCCACTGTCCTTTCTCACCTTGACTACTGTAATCCACTTCTCAATGGTCTTACGTGCTCCCAACTTGCGCCGTTACAGTCCATAATGAATGCGGCGGCGAGGCTCATCTTCCTGTCCGCTTGCACCTTTCATGCCTCACCCTTCTGTCAGTCCCTACATTGGCTTCCTATAAAATATAGAGCTCAATTTAAAATTCTGGTTCTTGCTTTCAAATCTCTACATAATGCAGATCCCACCTATATATCCTCCCTAATACACAAGTATGTCCCGTCTAGGCCCTTACAATCTGCTGAAGACATACGTCTATCTTCTGTCCGTACTCCCACCTCTGATGCTCGCCTTCAAGATTTATCAAGGGCTGCACCATTCCTGTGGAACTCGCTTCCCTCCTCTGTTAGATGCTCACCCAATCTCCACTCCTTCAAAAAATCATTAAAAACCCACTTCTTCATAAAAGCGTATTAATTAAACTGTTAATAGCTCCTGACTGATTCATCTTCTGCAACTGTCACTAGTCTAATACTATCCTTACCTTTTTGTGTCATTTTACCCCACTCCCTCTAGCATGTAAGCTCATTGAGCAGGGCCCTCAACCCCTCTGTTCCTGTGTGTCCAACTTGTATGGTTACAACTACATGTCTGTTCGTCCACCCATTGTAAAGCGCTGTGGAATTTGACGGCGCTCTATAAATATCATAATAATAATAATAATAATAATTTTGTACACGTTACATTTATTTTTACACAATGTTCTGTATTCAGTTGGAGAACAGGGATTGTTTCTGATGGAACTGATAGAACTATAACAACGTAACATTACTTGATATAACTTAACAAGATAACATGATAACAAGAGATACAAAAACAGAAAAAGGAAAAGGATGGAGCTAATTAACAGAAGTGTTATTAATATAGCATGCAGCAAAAGCACCTAAGTGCACAGTCATTTTGTTACACTTACATATACACAATAGCAAAACAGAAGAAAAGGTGATTGCGCAATTTTGGTGTAACTCCCAAATTATGTAGGTAAGGCTCTGAAAATACAGAAAACCAACATAGGGTAATACGTTTTGACACTAAGTAATGAAAGTAAGAGACTTAGAAAAACTCACAATCTGTAGAGCATTTCTGAGTTTGCTCTAAACTATGAAGGCAGGATACATCAATCAGATGTGTGAATAGCTGTACTTGGTCCCCTCAGGAGGTGTTTCCCAGAAGCGCAAGGAAGCAGGCTGAAGGGTTAGTGTAGGACCCGCTTTAGGGGGGGTGTGCCTTGACGTTGGCAGGCGGACATTCCCGCCAATGGCGATTGGAGCAACTCCATTTGTCTAAATACACATAGGGATTAAGGAGAGAGCACAGAGGACTGCAAACACCTCCTGAGGGGACCAAGTACAGCTATTCACACATCTGATTGCCTTCATAGTTTAGAGCAAACTCAGAAATGCTCTACAGATTGTGAGTTTTTCTAAGTCTCTCACTTTCATTACTTAGTGTCAAAACGTATTACCCTGTGTTGATTTTCTGTATTTTCAGAGCCTTACCATGACAACAAGATAACATGATATTAAAATATTTAAACTTCTCTTTAGAGTGGAAAGATAGAAAATTCTCACTTTTGAGTAATTTAAAACTTGTAAAACATGTATGAAAATGCACTTAGGTTCATTTTAGGAAGCTTTGTTAATATACTTCATATCAATTAATAATTGTATGCAGTTTATTAAAAATATAGCTTTGCAGATATTCAAACATTCTTTACAGGAAGTGGTTAGGAATGCTGTATAAATCACATGCATGAAGGGGTGACTAGGGCTG